ATTTTACAGTACATTTTACAAATTAATATTTTGCAAAGTACATTTTACAGTACATTTTACAAATTTAATATTTTGCAAAGTACATTTTACAGTGCATTTTGCAAATTTAATATTTTGCAAAGTACATTTTACAGTACATTTTACAAATTTAATTCAAAATTCCTAATAACAATTTTTCCTAAGAACAAAATGCGCAACAATTCAAGCATCACATAAATTTTGAATTTAACTCTCTTCCGAACATTACAATTATTATAACTTATAGCAACATATGCGGAAATTTGTACAGCACAAAATGAATAAACAATTGTTTTCGCTTAACTAATTGAAATTATTATAAGATTAGTTCCTTATTTGATATAATTACAGTTATGAAATATTGTCATATTTAATAACTTTTTACGAATAACTTTGATATGCAATAATTTCTGATTTATTAAATTTTGAAAGTAATTTTAGTTTTACTTCTCATTAAAGTAATAATAATAATAATAATGATAATAAGTAATTATGATTTTTTCACACAATAATAAATAATTATAATTTCACTCTTTGATCATAATAAATCGTTCCTTAATAATTATTTATGAAATTTGATTAGTGGAAAGAAATTGCTTAATGAATATCAAAAAAAAAAGTAGTAAAGTAATTTTTATCATGATTAGATAATTATGATAAAATGAATTCATTTATAGTATTATATGTTAATTTAAATGCAGGAAATTTCATTGTGATACAATTGGGATAATAATATATTTCCTCAGATGATAATAAACTGTAAACTGATAACTTTATGTTTTTTTGAAGGAAAAAAAAGAAAAGGGAACTTTCTAAATGAAGAAATAATTCGGGAAAAGGGGGAGGAGGAAGGACAATGCGCCAACCGGGAGTCGAACCCGGGTCTGCACCTTGGGAGGGTGCAATGATACCGCTACACCATTGGCGCCACACGTCCCATTGCTTTTCTTCTCATATTTTCAATGGTTTTTTAATTAAAATGATTTTTGATGTGATTGATGGAACCGGATGATATATCCAGTCTTTCATCCGGAATCTTCAAGTATAGAAGAACATCAATTTATTCGCAGTTGATGGGATTATCCAAAGTACCCATGCAAGATCCAATGATAATTTTCCGGAAACATTTGAAACTTATAAGTACATCTACAAATGGCCAAGTTTGTTACTAAACGATATCTTCTGAAAACGATTTGACATCCTTAAGCTCATCTACAAATGGCCAAGTTTGTTACTAAACGATATCTTCTGAAAACGATTTGACATCCTTAAGCT